AAGGCTCATTCACTTATGATACAAAATGACCGATGTCGTTGCGCGGTCCGTCACAGCATAAATAAGAAAAAAAAAAAGAAAAAATAAATAATAAAGTGATGAATCCTCGTTTACAAACATATGGAACAATTTTCACATAACGAATGTTGGAAAAATGCTCCACAGTTCTACATACACATGCTGCGTTCTACATAAAGCCAAATTGTGCCACGTTTTTTTTTTTTTTTCAAAGTACGCGGACATGAAATTGGTGCATATGTTATACGCGCGCATGCACGTCTGTTTTGCATAAACGTTTGGTAAATGTATATCTCTCCTTCTCGGGAAAGGTAACATATGCAAACATAAAAGCACAAGTAATGTCTATGGGACTTGTGCGCTAAATAAAAAGCTGTTCAGTTTATATAAATTTATAGGTTATGGATCATAAAACAGTTACGCTACTTTTTATTAAAAAAGTTGGATGCCTGCGCCCACATATGCATACATTCATACATACATATGCGCGCATGGGCGTCAAAAAATGGGCTGGAAGGAGGTAAAAGTCAGTACGCGTACGCGTATGCGCCAGGATAATACAAACATGTATGCAGGTTCACACCTGTGTGTGTATCACACCACGATGTTCAACTTTTGAATGCAAAGGAATCCGAGAAATTATGACTGCACACTCGCTAGATGTGGGGAGGGTAGGTAAGTACGTACTTCGTTCCCCCCCAAATCATGGGGTTCTTTCGAAATACAGAATTCTATTTACACAAAATTGTCTGCGAAATTGCTGCACAGTGGTTCATTTGCACACCCTATGGGTGCAGGGACACGTGGACTGATGACTCGTTGCACTGATGTACGGGCGTGAGTATATATCTTCCTGCGTGTGCTGGCATATGTCTTCACCATGCAGGGGTGTAAAATGCGTACACAGGCACAGGCGAAAAAGCAAAAGTAGACGCTAACGAAAACGTAAGCACTGACGAAAAGGTAAACACTAAGGCTAACGAATACGCTAGCGCTAAAGCCAACACCAACGCAGTTGCAACTGCTAAACACTGCAACGTACATGCGCTGTTTGACAAAAAATAAAATCGACGCACTGCAGTACGCAGGTGTATGCCTAGCTTTCTCCAGAATTAATGCAAATTTTAAAATGTAAAAAAAAAGAATAAAAATTACAACTTTAAACACTCCAGCGTTTAAATTTATGTGTAAAAAAAGGCCTCAGCACGGAGAATCAAACCACTGAGTGACGCCACTACAACAAAAACGCGCAGTGTGGTGGTGATGGTACATGAATACAGGAACTTGTGTATCCCTCAGGTATGCATGGACTCGAAGGCATACATATGAGCACGTATGCCAAAGTATTCCGGCGAATGTAATATTAAAGTAGGTTACTATTACGTACGTGGGAGGGTTATCCAAACGTA